TTTAATGCAGGAGGAAGTCTAGAGCAGATCTAGGCTACCACCCCAAGTGCAGCTGATTCGGACTGACTGCGGTGGTGCTGTGCACAGCGTTGTTGTACAGGCTGGCAATGAGAGGTAACTTCTCATCCCAGTCATCTTGGCTGGGCTTTATGTAATGCCTCAGCAGATGATGCACCACGCGGATCATCAGTTCAGCTTGCCCATTGGCTTCAGGATGATTCCCAGAAGTCATCTGGAGTTGGCTGCCCATCTGTTCTGCAGCCTTCTCCCACATTTCACTTGTGAAACAGATATCTCTATCACTAACGATAGTCTTTGGCAATCCAAAGTCACACACCCATTTATCCATGAATAACTCGATGACGTGCTCAGTCCTTGCGGTCTACGGCATGACAATTAACCTGGAGAACGTAGTAAACCTATCACTCAGCTCGGAGGTCCTCGCTCCGGGGGAGGGTAGGTCTGCAATGACTTGCTGTTTCCATGCTGCCTGTAGCCTCACTCTGACGAGGCTGTACTCTAGGTCGGGGTAGATTCGTAATTTTGTTCGGCTGAGGGCTAACCGAGAGACCTGCCTGTGTGGGAAATTCGTGATGGACATATCTGTAAATATAGAAGTATGGCCCTGTACTAACCCGACTTTCCTAACAGCGACCCTAACTGCAAATAGCAGGCCCGGGCTACCCCTAGGACAGACAGGCCCTATGGGCCTATGCTGATAGACGGTCCTATAGCCTATAGCCGGGTAGGGAGAGGCCCTAGAGGCCGAAACTGAAACGGTACCGGTCGGTCAGTCAGTCCGGTCTAGGTCGGTCTAGGCTAGCGTAGAGTATAGGTAGGATGGGGACACCGGTCCAGGGCTTTTGGCAGTTGACACTTCGTGGTGGAAGTTGCTGCGCACACGGTATCAGGCCGTGGTTGCTGATTCCGGTGCTGGACATGGCGGACATAGCCAGACCTTCGGAGSGTTGACCAGACTRRGGTCAACGCTGTYCGCTCTGACTCTTTGGGAGTCATAGCGGTCTGGGCCATCTGAGGTCTGATGCGTTGGAGCRCGTGGTGCACTGCTGAGCCTCCTCAGGAGTAGGGTCCCAGTGGCGATGCAGCCATAGCTGCATCTACTCAGAGATATCATCGTCTGGACTTCATCTTCATCAGGGACTGTTGGCGCTGAGCTTCTTCTTCATCATCTGGATGGCGATTGGCTCTGGGAGCCTGTTTCACTTTGGCGCAGGCCACTGAGTTGATGTTAGGGTGGCGCTGGGTGTTACCTGGGGTTTCGGTGCTATTGTTAGCTGTTCAGGGTGTTGGGGGGGAGGCGCTACCCCTCTGAGGGTAGCGCAACAGGGTTCTGAGGTTATTCAGTGGAAACGGTGCTCTGAGTTTAATAAACAGTTGCAATACTGTGTTTGAGTTGTCATCTCTTCATTGTTTCCTGGCTGTGATCACTCGGTTGTYTTCTATGAATGATTGTTGGGAATTGTGTGGAGAGAATTCACGGTCTGTGTATTCTGTCWCTTCGCTCCCCTGAGTCTTCCGCTGCGTTTCTTTGTGTTGGGCGGTGTGATACTCCACTACCTCTCCCCTTCCTTCTGTGCATGTATGGGCGTGTACGGGAGTTCCTGTGAGTGAGTGCTGATCAAATTTTGGCAGACAATCATGTTCATAACACATTTCTCTGGCCTCCAGTGTGAACTTCGTGTGAACTCATTCGTTCATGGTGTGTGATTGTGTGTACTCATTGGTGATGAATTGAGAGGTTCATTGCAGATGTGTATTTCTTCAATCTCACCGTCACGTTACAAAATCGAAAAACACCAGGTAAGGCGAATGAGGAGCACATTAGGAATTTGCCTTTACTCCACCAGCAATCTTGGGACGTTCAGAACCTCCCTTCACTCCCCCCACAACCTTGATGCGATGACCACTGCTCCTTGTTCGTGAACGCGCTATATCCACTCACAAATGATGGGCCACAGTATACCACGTCCTGCCTTCGCACTGCGTCCCTCTTCTCGGCATCCCATGCAAGCCACTTACACCTTGTTGCGCCCGTTCCCATCGCTGGTGGTGCCATCTCATGCAAGCCCACCATTCGGTACGCCCGTTCCCATTGCACACCGTCAAATGACACGCCCGTTCCCATTGCTGATACTGCCTGCGCGCGGCTTACCTCGGGCCAGTTTTTTGTTTCTGACTGCCTGACGCGTCGTTGGGCCCACCCTGGCCTGGCCTGCCCTCCCTCTATGGATTCCCAACACTGGCAGCAGATTCTCGTGTTGGATACGCCCTCTATAAGGCACTTGTCCGCTGGAGACACTATTTGTTGGGAACTGACCACTAGATGCTCAAGTGGACCAAGACACAACCTGTTCTCTCCGATGCACTCAAACGCTGGATTCAGGTCATAAATCGGTATGACTTCAAGCTAGATTATGTAAGGGGAGAGTACAACAAGGTTGCTGATGCGTTGTCACGTAGGGCAGACTACGAGTCTGGCTTATCTAAATATGTAACTCGATCGATTGTGGAAGCCTACAAGGAAGATCCCATCACGATGGACATCATCCGCAAACCAAGACAAGGCCACATGTGATGAGTTTGTGATGGTGGATGGGTTACTCTTCCTTGAGAAGGCAAGATTTACGAGATTAGTTGTTCCAGCTAGCGATATTTTGCGTAATTTATTTTTAGGAGAATGTCATGATGCAATGGGACACTTTGGCAATAAGAAGACAAGTACGAATCTGATACAACAATTTTGGTGGCCTGGTATGCTAGACGAAGCCAAACAGTACGCTCAGACTTGTCAAGTCTGTCAGTGGGACAGGCTGCGAACTCAAGCTCCGCTTGGGTTACTCAAGCCTCTACCCATTCTGTTGGTCCGGGAGTGTTTCCATAGGGGCGTAGGCGTGCAGAGCGTCGAAGGGATTCTCCCTTCTGCGCAGCCTCATATTTGAGGATCACAGACTTTGCTGTTTTCAGGAGCTCCTTGCGAGTGAACCAGTGATCCTCAGTATGGGGCTGGTAAAGAAACTTCACAAGGTACTCCTTATCCAGGCCTGTACCATACTCATCCACAACTTCTTCCACCTCATATCCCTTCCCAGGGATCGAGGGACCAAATTGTGGAGGTCTGTCTGGAAACGCATCAGCTGGCGTAAAAGGCAACAGCTTGGATGCATGGAAGACAGGGTAGGTTTGTAGATGCAGTGGGACATCTACATGATAGGATGGCCCGAAGGGGTCAGCCCCCACTGTATCCAAAACTTGCCATGGACCCATATAGCGCGGCAGCAGCTTAGGCGAGATGTCTTCTTCCCGCGATAGCTCAGAATTGAGCACCCAGACCCAGTCACCAGCGCGAATGGGGGATGGTCGACGATGCTTGTTAGCCTGCTGGATCATAGCCTTTTGGGCTTTGAGCAGGTTAACTGTGGCTCGTTCGATATCCCTCTGATACTGCCTGGTGAACTCTACAGTTCCAGGGGTCAGTCTGGGAGTAGCCTTATCGACGATATCATCGAGAGGCTATCGTGGTTCACGTCCCCAGTGCAACCGGTAAGGGGTGAACCCTGTGGAGGAGTGTACAGACGTGTTGTACACTAGTTGTGCCCGTCCTAAATGGAGATCCCAATCCTGCTGATCAGGGCTGATCACAGGACGCAGCAACTGGAACAGAATCTGGTTCATTACTTCAGCGTGCCCATTGGCTTCAGGATGATGACCAGATGTCATGTTCAGCCTAGAATGAAGGTAGTCCTTGCAGTAGGACTGCCATTCATTGCTGCAAAACCGGGGATCTCTATGACTGACAATAGAGGTGGGTGGTCCATGGTCAGTAACCCACTTGTCAGCAAAGGCCGCTCGTACGGCCGGGACTTTGGCTTCCTCTGGCAGAGGAATAAACTCTGCATACTTAGAGAACCTGTCAACACACACCATAACCTGACGCATACCACGAGGAGTGGTCCTCCCCAGATCAGTGAAATCAATAGACACTGACTGCGCAGGTGCCTCAGGGATGGGAAGTGGTTGTAGTAGGCCAAGGGGAGGTCGGCGTACGACCTTGTTCCTTTGGCACAACTCACAGGTTTCAACATAGTGCAGCATGTCTTTCCTCATTTCTGGCCAGAAGAACCGCTGCGACAGGGCAGCCAACGACTTTAAGGCCCCATAGTGGCCGCGAGTGTCAGGGCCGCGAGCATCATGACACTCAGACATCATGAGTGTTCTCAGCTGGCGGTCCTGAGGGATGCACAGACGCTCCTCTCCTCCGCTGCAAGTGTACAGCAGATCTGAAACCAGAATGTAGCCTGGTTCTGAAGCAGGATCAGCCTGTAGATTCCTAAAACTGGGCCAAAAGTCGGGTCCTGTGGCAATAGCTGGGCAATGGTCTGACGGGTACTCTCCCCAAAGGTATGAGTGGAGGAGATCATGTAGACAGCGTCAGGCCTACGAGAAAGGGCGCCTGCTACACGATTGTAGCAGCCCTTCTTGTGTTTCAGTTCAAAGTCAAAGAGATCAATGAACTGAATATAGCGCGCGAGCTTGTCATTCAGTTCCCCTTGGGTCTTCATCCACTGCAAGGTGGAATGATCAGAAAAGATCTGAAAATGCCGGCCCATGAGGAAATGCTTCCAATGCTACAGCGCTGACACGAGAGCATACAGCTCTTTCTCGTACGTGGAATCCTGCAGCTTCTTGACCTTGATCTTCTTACTCATATACTCAACTGGCTGCAGACCATGCCCACCATCCTGCTGAAGCACCGCCCCAACCCCATACTGACTAGCATCAGTAGTTAGTACGAAAGGCAAGGTAGGATCAGGTAGCTTCAGAACAGGGGCACGCATCAAGGCCTCCTTGAGGCGTGTAAAAGCCTGCTGACAGTTTGATGTCCAAAGAAAGTGGGTGTCTTTCTTTGTGAGATCAGTTAGGGGTGCAGCAATAGCAGAGAAGTTCTTGACGAACTTCCTGTAGTATGATGCAAGACCCAAGAATGACCGGACATCACGAACTGTGGTAGGCTATGGCCAGTCCTGAATCGCTGCAATCTTTGGCGCTTCAGGAGCCAACCCTTCCCCAGAGATTACATGTCCCAGATAAGTCACAGAAGTCACTCCAAAGGAGGACTTTTCCCTGTTGATCTTATACTGGGCCTCATGTAGTGCCTGGAGAACTAGAGCCAGATGCTGCGCATGCTCCTCGACAGATCGACTGAATACCAGGATATCATCCAGGGACACAACTACAAACCTGTCCAGGTAAGGCCCGAGTATGCAATGCATCTCTGTCTGGAATGTGCCAGGGGCATTGCAAAGACCGAAGGGCATGACCAGGTACTCGTAGGTGCCGTATCTGGTCTTGAAGGCAGTCTTGTGGACATCGCCTTCAGCCATCTCAATCTGCTGGTAGCCAGATTTGAGGTCGATCTTGCTGAAGATTGTGCAGCCCTGCACCATGTCCAGCAGGTCATCAATCCTAGGAAGGGGCTTTGTAGACTTCCTAGTGATTTTGTTGAGACCCCTGTAGTCCACACACATTCTGAACTCTCCATTTCCCTTTGGGACAAAGAGAACTCGAGCCCCAAATTCAGATGTGTTGGGTCTGATCCAGCCCTTGCTGGTCAGGGTCTCAAGTTGTCTCCTGAGCTCATCGAGTTCAGCAGGTGACATCCTGTAGACACGGCCCTTGGGAGGGACCGCACCTGGCAGGAGCTCAATCCTGTGCTGGGTCTGCCTATGGACAAGTCCAGTAGGCTCCTGCATCAGGTCTGGATACCGGTCCAAAACCTGCTGAAGCGGTGAGAGATAAGGAGCAATGTCCACACCAGTCTGTTTCACATATGCAACGAACAGACATGTGTGGGCAGTCTGGCGAGAGAGCTGAAAGAACTTGTGTGCCCTCATACAATAGCAACTGCTGACTGGATGGTACTCATCAGCCAGGACACAAGGCTGATAGTCTCCATTACAGTCAGGGAGCTCTACCCTAGGGATCTGCCAGTCGATCCTAAGGTTAGTGGCCTCAAGCCACTGCATGGAAAACACAAGATCAAAGGGTACATTGGGAAACACATAGAAGTTCAGGCGCTGCCTGACCTTCTCCTCCTTGTCAAAGATAACCGGAAGATTCCTGATAGCAGATGTAATCCGGACTGTGGAGGAGTCCCCAATTCGGACTTCCAGTGGTTGTAGCAACTTCGCCAATCTCCCATCCAAATGCAGCTTACTGACAGCCTTGGGAGAGATGAAGTTCCGGGTAGCCCCACAATCTAACAGGCCCTTAATATTGGCTCCCAGGATAGAGGGTCGCAGCAAGATGAGGTCTGGCTTATGCTTTTTCTTTTCCTGCAAAGACAGGAAAAGATCAACAAAAGTCTGACTATCATCTTCCTGCCACGTCTCATCCAGGTCAGGGTCCATGTAAGTGAAGGATCCTGACGCAGCAACTCCAACAACAGAGTCAGTGAGGGTGGATGTAGAATCAGATCCATCATAATCTGATTCAGCATAAGTGGAGGGAGCTGCAGACTCCACTTCCCTCAACTGGTCGAGTTTTTTGAACTCGAACCGGGTCTGCGAGGCATGTGGGGACAGTCCTTTAAGAAATGGTCCCCCTCGCAGCGAAAACAAACCTCACGGTCCTTCCTCCTCTGCCGCTGCCCTTCCTGGATCCTGAGCGCTCTCCAGGGAAGGGTGGAAGGATCCATGACGTTGATTGGCCAATGGACGTCTCGTGGAAGATTAGGTCTCTGGGCCTGAGGGGAAGTCGCATGTCCCTTCCCTTTCCCCTTCTGGCTGGCTGAACTCTTGCTGCTGTCCTTGCTGAATTTTCCCTTGAACATGGCAGCAAGATTCTCAGCCAGGGCAAGAACGGCTGGCTCAACTGCTGATCCGGATGCAGTCTCAGATGGAGGACTGCCACGCGGAGATGCATCTGAATCAGATCCTGCATCAGCAGCCAATAGAGCGCCTTTCCTCCTGCGCTGTCCCTGGGAGGTAGGCCTCTTCCTTCCTTCAAAGGGAGTCTGAACCTTGAGCCGAGACTCCAGTTCCAGTGCCGCTTTGCCAAAGGACCTCCAGTCCTTGTGGCCCTGAGCATACAAAACAATAGAGTAGTCTGGAGGGGCTGCACGCAGGAAATGGGTGAGCTGGTCAGACTCACTCATCTCCAGACCGGGTGTAGACGTCAAGCTCTCAAACAGACTGTAGAGCTTGGACAGAGAGCCCTCAAATCTGTGGGACCCCAGCAGCATAATTTTATCAGCTGCTTTGAGGGCCTGCTCCCTGTCAGCAAACCGGTCCTGCAGCGCCTTCAGCAACCCTGCCACCCCCAGCTGCTTTCCCCACCTATCCATAGCGACATTCTCTTTGGTTGCAGAGGAGGTGCACCATTTCAGTGCAGACCTCTCCAACCGGCCAAGAATGGTCCCCACCTTTGTTGCTTTTGGGCATGTGAAGCTGCCCAGGTATGCTTGCATAGCGGTGACCCAGTCTGATACATCCACCTTGGGGTCTTCCCCAGAGTACATAGGAGGTGGTGTTCGCTTGGGCCCTCGCTGCACAGATGTACCAGAAGCAACAAAAGGGGTGGATACATGAGAACCAGCAGGCGAGGCTGGACGACTGTGAGGTGGTGAACCCGCTGGCCGGGTGATCAGCTGGCCAGCTGGCTGTACAGGCTGAGGGGCTAGGAGAGGCAGCTTGAGGTGTTGCAGAACGCTGTTCATCCTTGTTGCCAGAGAGGTCAGGTCCTTTGCCATCTGATCCACTTTGTGTTCGATGGCAGAGACCTGACTCTCCACAGCAGAGATCCGGTGGTCCCAGTTGGAAAAATAAGATCTGCTGAGGGTGTCAATCAAGATGACCATCTCAGCAATGCTCTTATTGTACCCACTGGCAGTCCCACTATCAACAACCTTCTGTACCTCCACCACAAGTTGTCTCCTCCTTTCCTCCTGCCTCCCTGCCTCCTCAGCTTCCTCTTTCTCCTTCCTCAGCTTGGCGATTTGTTCATCAACCTTTCGCCTAGCTTCCTCTGCAATCAGCAATGCTTGCTCCAGAGGGGAAAGAGGAGTCTGGGGAGGATCAGGAGTGGCCGAAGTTTCGGCCTCCTCTGTCTTTCCTTCAGACATTTTGCACACCACACACAGTCAAATAAATATGAACAGGCAGATAAGAGGTGAGCAGGGATTAAGATTACACACACACAAATGTAATCACTGCCACCTGATGAGAAAAGACGTGGTGTGATAAGCAGAAGAGCGCTCAACCTTTGTAGGTTGTTGAGGGCTGTCCTGGGTCAGTTTAGGTCAAAACCAGATAAAATCAGAATTACAATTTTTCATTCACTGCCCAGAACCCTCATCTGAGTTAATACCCCCAGAATCGTTGTCAGCAAGATAGACAGGATGCAACCTTGGACTGTAAGCAGACAGATTAGAATAGCACAGAGAGTTAGTAGCAATCCTTAGAACCCAGTACTCAACCAAGATGCAGCGAGTGACTGGCACTGTATGACCCTGTATGCCCCACTATAGGTGAGGCAAAGTACATATATCACTGTACCTGACTCAAAACATCAAATCCGGTATAGCGCTTTCAGACACTAACTAAATACTGAATTGCGATTTCCGGGTGACTGAGAGATTGAAATTCTGACGGACAGAACCTAAGTTATGACAAACCCTAGCTGCCCCAGGCACTGGCTATAGCAGCGCAATATTCAGAATTCCATTATCACTGACATCTAGACCCTGAACTACTCAATTCACAGTGCATACTGAATCGCAATACTATAATACAGTCAGAGATGCAATTTGAGGCAGAAAGGAGGTCAAACAGAGTCCGTAGAACTCAAAGTAGGTAGGTAGGAGAAATGGCTATGGCTGTCAGGCAGTGCGATTTTTCAGTTTCACTGACAACAGACATGCATCTACTATTTCTCCAGTCTAATTACACTCATCAGACTCGCTACAGGGACTTGAGTAAGGAACACACTCACTTCAGGTCAAAACACTTCATGAAGAAGCTGAACTGGCTATGGCTGCCATCTCGCCAGTTTCTTCCATCCACTGTTCCTGGTGCTCCCACGTTCAAAATCTCCTGAAACTTGGTGATACTGAAGCTCTTGATATGGCGAACAATCCCCACTAGCCAAATTCTCTGAACCTGGTCCAGAATTTGCAACTCGACATACCCCCAGGTATCTCGCCACTAGCAGAGCCACCACCTGGGCTAAAAATAACCCCCTCAGTGCCTCCCAGGCCACCGAGCACTGAATTGCTACCAATCCCTGTGTCCTACCAATCGCCACACACCCTTCACCAACACCCTACTGAGCGCAACCATGAAGATGAAGTTTCTCCACGAAACCCTACGTCAGAAGCTCTCAAGTAGTGATGGATGCCTCAGTCCATCATCTCGCCACTGTCTGGGTCCGATCTGCTCCGATACCAACTGTTATGAACATGATTGTCTGCCGAAATTTGATCAGCACTCACTCACTGGAACTCCCGTACACGCCCATACATGCACAGAAGGAAGGGGAGAGGTAGTGGAGTATCACACCGCCCAACACAAAGAAACGCAGCGGAAGACTCAGGGGAGCGAAGAGACAGAATACACAGACCGTGAATTCTCTCCACACAATTCCCAACAATCATTCATAGAAAACAACCGAGTGATCACAGCCAGGAAACAATGAAGAGATGACAACTCAAACACAGTATTGCAACTGTTTATTAAACTCAGAGCACCGTTTCCACTGAATAACCTCAGAACCCTGTTGCGCTACCCTCAGAGGGGTAGCGCCTCCCCCCCAACACCCTGAACAGCTAACAATAGCACCGAAACCCCAGGTAACACCCAGCGCCACCCTRACATCAACTCAGTGGCCTGCGCCAAAGTGAAACAGGAGATGTGTATAAGAGACAGCCTCAGAGGGGTAGCGCCTCCCCCCCAACACCCTGAACAGCTAACAATAGCACCGAAACCCCAGGTAACACCCAGCGCCACCCTGACATCAACTCAGTGGCCTGCGCCAAAGTGAAACAGGCTCCCAGAGCCAATCGCCATCCAAATGATGAAGAAGAAGCTCAGCGCCAACAGTCCCTGATGAAGATGAAGTCCAGACGATGATATCTCTGAGTAGATGCAGCTATGGCTGCATCGCCACTGGGACCCTACTCCTGAGGAGGCTCAGCAGTGCACCACGYGCTCCAACGCATCAGACCTCAGATGGCCCAGACCGCTATGACTCCCAAAGAGTCAGAGCGRACAGCGTTGACCYYAGTCTGGTCAACSCTCCGAAGGTCTGGCTATGTCCGCCATGTCCAGCACCGGAATCAGCAACCACGGCCTGATACCGTGTGCGCAGCAACTTCCACCACGAAGTGTCAACTGCCAAAAGCCCTGGACYGGTGTCCCCATCCTACCTATACTCTACGCTAGCCTAGACCGACCTAGACCGGACTGACTGACCGACCGGTACCGTTTCAGTTTCGGCCTCTAGGGCCTCTCCCTACCCGGCTATAGGACCGTCTATCAGCATAGGCCCATAGGGCTTGTCTGTCCTAGGGGTAGCCCGGGCCTGCTATTCGCAGTTAGGGTCGTTGTTAGGAAAGTCGAGTTACTACAAGGCCATATTTCTATATTTACAAATATGTCCCTCACGAATTTCCCACACAGGCAGGTCTCTCGGTTAGCCCGAATCTACCCCTACCTAGAGTACAGCCTCGTCAGAGTGAGGCTACAGGCAGGATGGAAACAGCAAGTCATTGCAAATGAAGACCAAGTAAGCGCAGCTTTAGAGTTCCAACAAATTATTATACAAGGAATTAAGAGTTTCAGTCACAAGCGCTCAACAGCGCAAACCCAAGTATCCAGTATCTCCACTCAGGTAAGTATCTCTCCCGGAGCTCCTCTCTCTTTTCCCTCGGTCTTCTCTCTGTATACTACCTCCCTGTGTCTTCTCTCCCTACTTGCATGCACTCACACCACCTACTACACCCACTGCTAACTCTACTAACCCCTCTGAGGTCTACTACTAACTACTAGCACTGGCGCAGCTATGGCTGCCTTCCCCCTGCCAGCGCTGGGCAGCTGTGGCTGCTCCCTCTCTTTCTCCCTCTAACAGCGCAACTCCCTGGCTCAACGCTCCGCCCTTCACAATAGCACACAAGTGCACCAGCACTTCCACACTTCATGTGAATGAGCAATCTGCCGAATGAGGAGGTTGGCCAGTCCTTATATTGTCTTGGACCGAGCTTCAACTCGTGCCAGCCTCTGCTTCTTGGGCCTTGACTTGGTTCTGGTACCACATCCCCACGGCCTGTTTGCTTTCGAATGTCAGGGCCTGGTACCGTTCCCGAATTTTCATTGGTGTGCTGCTGCTTGGGCCTTTGAGTCGCGACTTTTCGATTGTGGCACATGGCTTTTAAGTTTTAACTGTGGTTTGCGACTCCTATCTCTGGGACCTGAGATGTGACTGTTTGTCGGGTGCCTGTTGGACTTGACTGCTAAGGTACCCAGCTGTGACTTTTCTGAAACTAGCCTACTTGGCCTTTCTTGGCCCAGGCCTCTCTGACCCTGAAACTCGAATTTCGGGTCTGCATCGTGGAAGGCCTTTCACATCGCATCATAGCAGGCATAATGGCATTCTCGATTTATTTCATCTAATTGAAAAAAAGGGCAATGAATATGAGTGGGAACGATATACAGAAAGCAAAGTTGCGATATCACACAGATGTCCAAGTAGTCGTGTACAAGCAGAGAGCACAAATGCACCGAGATTCCATCCATTAAGAGCAATACAATGAAGTAATGAGCCAATGTTCAAGCCCTCAGGCCACACCAACACAGTATCCAAAGCCGCTCCTCTCTGTCTGCCTCCCAGCACCCAGCGTACAGTACTTGACTGTCCTACCTACATCAGCATTCTCGCAACAGGCTCACTGTGACTCTTGAAGACCAATGTACATGATGCCAACACCATAGCCGACCCCTCTCATGCACCAGGTACGTATCTCGTCGCCCCTCATCAGACCCTGTCCACCCACACTCGCCTCCTTCCTGAAGACCAACGATCGCCCTCTCAACCTCTAGCGCCCTGCAGCCCGACTATGGCTGCTTGCGCTCCGCTGCCCAGCAGCACCCCTCTTCACCTCACACGCACCCGCACGCGCTCTAGCCTCAGCGCAGCACGCAGCCTCTAATGCAGCAGTGCAGCAGTGTGACCGCATTGCCTGCGTGGGCCAAAATGCCAGACCCTGGCTGCCCTCCTTCCCATATGGAAGTGGCAGCCTCTACTTGGCTGCGTGTCGCCTGGCTGGAAGCTTCCAGTAGCTTCCGGTCGGGCCCCAATACCTGCGCCCAGGCCCAGTGCTACAGTTGAGGGCCTGGGCCCTTTACAGTTGGACACAGCCTGAGTCTCCAGACTTGGGCCGTTTCCTGCATTTGCACAGGACCTGGGGTATGTACGTCGACAGAGCTGCTTTTGCGTAAGCCTGTAGCCACTTCGTGATGTATCGACCTTGCATTGTGTGTATGTGCCCAGGCGCAACTGCCACGGCCTGGGCCAAACTGTACGACACAGCTTAGGGAGGCTCACACATCCACTCAACCAACTGGCGGGCTGTAACAGCCTGAGTACCCACATATGAAAAATGTCGAATTTGGGCCTTCAGTGAATATTCAGGCCCGCCTTCACTTAGGGCGGGCACTTGGCTTTCTGGGGACCTCTGCCCAGAACATGTGAATGCTTGACAAGGACCCCGCGAGGGCTCATTCCTTGCATTCCATCCCCCTTATCTTCGAAAGAGTCCGCTGAGATGCTTCATGCTGGTGCCTTCCCCTTCAATTTTCTTTCATACTCGGCCTTGATTTGAGGAGCTGTCTTGACAAGTTCCTCTCTAGTAAACCATCGGTCTTCCTTGGGATCAATATGATGCTTGAACCGTACTCTGTATTCTCTCACAGGTTTAGGTGGTCTACCCTTGCCAGCTGGCTTGGGAACAGGCATGCCTCTGTGCTCCAGGA